AAATGTATGTAATTGTATTATGCGGTATTTCTTCTTACGGTATATAATGACCTTTTTTGGGTGTGGAGGCGAAAAATAGTATTGGTGAAACTGATTAAGAAAATAAAGAGATGACGACAATGTTGTGTGTGATGATGACGACGATGATGATGATGATGATGATTAGGAGACGAAGGATTGATATAGCGTTTTTGATGATAACAATCTTGGTAATGATACCGACGATGATGATAATGATGATGATAGCGAGTACATAGTGATAAGAGCAACCAAGAAGAAAGTTAAGGATATGCATATCTTTATTTGTATGTATATTTGTATGTGTGTATGTTTGTATGTGTGTGTGTATGTATTTATATATGTATGTATGTATGTGTACCATGTATACAAACAACATGTATACAAACAAATAAATACAAATGCAGTTTATTTGCGAGCAGTTTTCCAACAATGAGAATGATATATCAATATTATCATTTTTTTATCGTTATGTATGTACACACACACACACACACACACACACACACACACACACACACACACACACACACACACACACACAAACAACATCAACACACATACATACTACACTCACCTCACTTATACATGAATATACGAACACACACTTACAAATTATTCATGCTTTTTGTTACCAAATTACTAATATTATTATCGCCATCAGTGACGTCATTATTATTGTTGTTAATATTATTTTTAATATATATATATATATATATGTGTGTGTGTGTGTGTGTGTTTTTATATAGATATGTATATGTATATTTATATAAATATATGTATATATATATATATATATATATATATATATGTGTGTTTATAAACATGATTGAATAATATTTATTATTGTTACTACTACTACTATTACTGCTAACATTTATAATTATTATTAATTTTTATTATTAATATTACCAGTTAGTTATAATTTAAATAAAACAAATATTAATAAATAAACAAATAAAAATATACGAAAAAAAATGATTTTTATTGCTTGCAGTTCAATAGCGTACAAACAAACATACATACATACAAACACACACATACACTCACACATGCGCTGCGCATACACAAACAAGCACACATACTAACATATACACAAACATAAACACATACAAACATACACACACACACACATAAGCAAGTAAGCATGCTTTACGATGTGATCATAAAAACCGGGCGGAAATAAGTTTTTACATAAGTTTAAGAATACCTATGCTGAAGATATTTTTGAAGCATATATAAAAAATCGTCTTGTGTGTGTGTGTGTGTGTGTGTGTGTGTGTGTGTGTAGTTGGAATTTTGTATGAACTGTTAAATATATGTGTTATTGTTGTAAATGTAATAAAAGTATTATACACAGTACAATGTTATTTATGTACAACTCCCGAGCGAGTGTACGTAAGTTGTGAGAAGTGGATGTACATGCACGTACAGCAATATATACATCTTTATAAATGTGCGTGTGCGTTTGTATTGTATGTATGCCGTTCATATGTATGTGTGTGCGCGCATGCTGTGTGTTTTTGCATGTGTGTTTTTACATGTTTTTATGTTGCATGTTTTTACATGTTTTTGCGCGTGTGTGTAATTATATGTGTTCGTGTGTTTGGCTGGAAGTATGCGCGCGTGTGTGTGTTGTGTGTGCGCGTGTGTACGATTGTGTGTGTATGAGTGTGTGTGTTAGCGCATGTGTGCGTGTGTTTATTGGCGACGGCACATTAGGATTCAAGTCGTGGTAGAGGACCAGTCAATTGCGATCAAATCAATGCAGACGCCCATCTATCCCTCGACGATGCCCAAACAACAATTCATTCATTCGTTCGTTTGTTCGTTCGTTCGTTCGTTCGTTGGTTTGTTCGTTAGTTTCCTCATAATTTCTTTCATTAATTCATTTGTTCGTTCGCTCTTTTCTCATCTTTATTTCATTCTTTCGTTCACCCGTTAGTTTGCCGTGTTTGTCCATTCGTTAGTTCGTTTGTTCACACGTTCGTTCGTTCATTTTTTTCGCAATTTATTCTCTAACATCTTTTGTCCGTTATTCCGTATTTATAAATTATGTACGTGTATAATTTGGTGTTTATGTGTGTTTGTTTGTTTGTGTATGTATGTGTGTGTGTGTTTGTATAATAGCGTGATTGTATGCATGGTGTACGTTTGCCTGATGCTTGCCTGCCACACATTACAGACAGATGATGGTTTATATTATTAATGAAAGGTTGAAATAATTATGAATAACTATGTAATTATAAAATAATCAAAAAATAAATTGTTCAGTCAACCAACTAAACAACCAATCTGCTAACCAACCGACCAACCAGCCAGCCAACCATCCAACCAACCTTTAATCATATCAATCAACCAGCTTACCAGCCATTTAGCCAACGAAATAACCAGCCAATCTAAAATTTAATCAACCAACCAAACAACAAACTAACAGACCAACCAACCAACGAATCAATCAACCAACCGACCAACCAGCGAATCAACCAACCAATCAATCAACCAACCAGCCAACTGCAATCATCATTATTAATGAAACAATGTAATCAAAGCCGATATACACACGCGCGCTCTGATTGAATGGATGGATGCCAAATTATTTTATCGCATTTTTATTATTTATTTATTTATTTGTTTATTTATTTATTATTATTGTTTTGTGTGTGTGTGTGTTTAGAATTTTGCTTCGTTTTTTAACAATAGTAAGTTGCAGAATCAATGTTACATAATTGATCATTATTAAGAAAGTTATTCAAAAACATTGGATTAATAAAAATTGCTTAAATGATTGCTTGAATAAATGAATGAACGAACGAACGAACGAACGAACGAACTAGCGAACGAACAAACAAACAAACAAATGAATAAATAAATGAATGGGTGAACCAAAGAACAAATAAAGATAAAAAACAGATTGAAAACACACAAAATTGAATTCCTAAGATACGTAGACAAAAAAAAACACTAAATATCATTCTATTTTCAGTGTTTTTTATCAGCTAGCTGCGACGTGACGCAGTGACATGCTGACCTCATTTTTGAGGTCATTTTTGAAGAGCGTTACTTTTTGAAATTTGTTTTTGGTCCATTCCTGTGAGGGTGTCACATTTTGACGTCTGCAACAAGATTGCAAACACTCGACCCCGTCTCAAATCCAAGAATATTTTTGACAATTTTTCTTTCTTTTTCTTTCTTTTACCCATCTTTTCTTCCTTTTCTATAAAAAAATGAAACTTTATCAAAAAAAGTTCTACTTTACAATTTGTAATCTCTTAAATCTTTGAGAAAACTTTT